CCAAAACTAGTGAGAGAATAAATTTCTGTTGTTTTAAACTACCCAGTTTGTGGTCATTTCCAGCAGCCACAGAAAACTAACATAAGGAGGCTTAAGACGGTCATATGTAGTAGCTATTTAGCCAGAGGTTTTCAACCTTTTCCACACCCTAGTGTCCTCAAGGGATGGGACAGTGGCAGCAGAACTCGGGAGCACCAGAACTTTTGAGAGGGATGCATGGATGGCTGAAGCGTCCTAGATGGTTCTGAAACATGACATTCCCTTCTCTGCAGATCACTGCTATGGGAGTTAGAGTCTGCAGAGTCATGAGAATGGCTAGCTCCAGGCTTGCTTGTGCCAGTGATAAGAGGCTGCATGAGTTCAGCACCAGAAAACTGGGATGGGTATGCAAATTGTTACAGCACACACACACCGATGTCAGGAAGCTGCCTGTGTCCGGGGCCAGTTTGCCAGTCTGAGCATCATGTCTGCTCTTGTAAAATTTAGAGAAGGTTCAGGCAAGAAGGGTTTCAAGGGTTGAAAAAATATAGTCTGCAACATAGCCTCTTCCAAACATTTCTCTTTATGTCTTTGATAAAAGAAGCTTGAAAGTGCTAAACAACAGTCAACAAACACATAGCCTGAATAAGTAAAAAGAAATTAAAATGGAATAATTGTTGTTTTGTTGTATTTTATAAAGACAGCATGGTCTGGGTATAGATGCAGCTTACACATATGCACTCGGGTTTACATTGTGGGTTGATTATTGTAGCTCACGTATATTTAAGTCAGTTGATTTGTCTCATTTGGAGTTTAGTTCCCAACCTCACACAAGATCTTGAACTTAACACTATTTATTCTAGAATTCAAGATATTAGATGAAAGCAGTAAAGGTTAGAGGACCTGGGCTCTAGCCTTAATTCCATTACTGCGTCACTGTGATTCAAGAAAATTACTTGAACTCTCGGAGCTCTCATTACCTGATCAGTAAAATGGAGATCGTAGGACTTCCCCGCTCATGAGGGTGTAGCCTGAAGGGGGTTTGCTTGCCATGGAGCCTGACATGGAACTCTCCTCTAGCTTACCTACTACATTCTTTCTGCAACAAAACCCTAGGCCCACATGGTAGAGGCAGGGAGCAGTCAATCCAGATTTATCGTGCTTTTCTTTTTGTGCTGGAACCCAAGCAGATGCTTCATATATAAGATTCTATTTAATCTTCCCAGCCATCCTGAGGACGGGTTGGTATCCCCATTTTACACGTAAGACAACTGAGGCTGGGAGTTGAAACAGCTTGCCTTTGCTGTCTCACGTGTAAAATGGGGACATCAACACCTGGCAGGGAAGAGAGCAACTGGGATTCAAACCCTGCCTTCCTTCCACCAAAATACAAGCTCCTTCCTGACTGTCATGCTGCTGCTGTCATTTCTAAAAATTAAAACAAACAATGAGAGTAAAGTTGGGGGACAGGTTCAGATTCTCAGACTCTTACAGCTCTGCAGATTCAGCAGGGTGTGTCTTGAGAGTCTCAAGAAGTTCTCTTGGAAATTTTTGATAAAATGTAACTAGTAATGGCATATAACCTCTTTAGTAAAGTAGGGGAATAATATTAATTTTTTTTATTTTTTATTCTAGAGACAGAATCTTGCTCTGTTGCCCAGGCTGGACTCATTAAACTCTTGCTCTTTAAAAAAGTACTTTGTTGTGTGTGACTTTTAATGAGATAATAATTCAGAACAGGATTAAAAGTTACACATTTGTTAGTAGACTTTTTAAGAAAACAAAAGGGCCATGGCTCGTATTGAAACAGGGATCGGATTTGTGACCCGGTGCCTCTTTCCGTGAAAGGTCTTTGACCATCCAGGGATGGACATTATTTCAGCATTCACTTCACATTTTAACATGTCTTACATGTGAAAAGCTTACAGGCATTTTGATGTCTAAATTATAAATGCCCTTTATTATAGAAAGCAACCAGCATTGAAGCCCTAAGGATATTAGGTAAGAAAATGTCAGATGATACTGCTCCAAATTCCCCTTGCTAGTAGTTCTACTAATTAATACAGTTAAGATCCCAGTGCTGTGTTTTTTATGGCTACTAAAGGAAATGATTTTTGGCACCCACAAGCTCCTTGGCTGTTTCTAAATGCCGCCAGAGCTAAGGGGATATTTGTTTACTCTTTGTCAGGGTGTTTACATGCCCTGGCTTGGGCCATGAGCGAAAATGTATTTGATGATCTCCTGGTCTCACCCCAGTCCCTAATGGATGTTTGTCTAAATGACAGCACCCAGTTTAGCACTGTTAACACTCCAGTTAGTAGGCGGGAGAGTGTGGGCTGTGTGTGACAGTCGGGGGCATGGATGGCAGGGTCAGGAACCTTCTCTGAAGGAAACACTTCCTCCTCCAGGATCCAGTTCTGGAAGCACCTTTGTGTTTTCTCTGTCTCCTACTGCCTTAATTTAGGAGTCAGACCATAAATATTCATTGAATCAGAGAATCTCACAACTTCATTATTACTCCTCTAAATACAGTGCTGGACTTTCTCTAAGGAGCCCAGATCTCTCAGCCTTGACAAGGACAAGCTTACAACAATTGGATAGTGCCATCCAGGATAGGGACGGTGGGCTGCCGTCTGGGGTTAGTTCATATTGTATTATGCAAAACGTCCCTTTGTAGGTTTGATCATGAGCTTGATTCACATAGCCAGCCACTTTCCAGATACGTGGCTTCCATAGAGTAGTTAGCAAAATGCACACGCATTTCCTTTTTGTTCACCATTGTCCCAAGCACTGTATGTGGATGTTATGGACGCAGTGGGGCCTTTCAGGAAACAGCAGGACAATGCTAGGCAGAGCATGACAGGTCTTTAGAGGGACATGCCTGCTCTAACCCAGGCCCACAAGCAGACGACGGACTGAAAGGGGGAGCCATGAATTGAGCGTTGACAGCGGGCCACGGCGGTCCGAAGGCTCAGGTGGTTGTCAGCCATAAGTTTAGCTCAGCTCTTTGAGTAATTTGTCACGCCTCGCTCAGCCCCTGCTGGGCCAGCACGTGCCAGCTTAGTGTCAGAGTGCCTGTTCGCCAGACGGCCACTCAGGCCTAACGTCCTGCTGTTCCCCGGACCAGCGGCTTGCTGGGGCCATGCACGGAGGGCCGAGCCATGGCGACAGCCAAGTGCTGTGCAGAATAAGTGTGTTCATAATGAGACGTGAATGGCATTAGTGGGTCCCTCTAGAATTGGGCCTGAGCAGGCGCCTCTCGCTGAGGAAGTTTGGCAGCCTGTTCATTAAGGCGAGTCACCAGGAGTTCAGCCCACAGTCGAGAAGCCAGTTCAGGCTCATGCTGCCCAGGCCTTGGGCGGTTGTGCCCATCTATATAAAAGATCATAAATCATTAGAGGGGCCACTTTGGAAATCTTCAAACTTATTTTCCTTGCTTGAGGTTGCATAGAGCAAGCTTATGGAGAAATTCTGGCAGCACGCTGTGCAGTAGTGCTTTCCACAGTGACAGGCATGTCCTATATGTGTGCAATCCAGTATAGAACCCCTAGCCACATGTGGCTATTGAGTGCTTAAAATATATCTAGGTGGGGCGGGGGGTGGTGGGGGGCAAAGCAACTGAATTGTAGCTTTTTATTTTAATTAATTCAAATTTAAAATGAGATAGCCACGTGTGGCTCGTGGCTACTGTATGGGATAGCACAGCCCTAGAATGCCTCTGGTCTCCTCATGGTATGAAAATTATCCTCTGAATATAACTGAGGGAGTAGGGAGAGGAAGAGCCTGCGTTTAGAGATCGGTGTGCACCCTTTGCCATAAGAAAGTAGAAAAGTATTTGGCCATTTAAAAACACATGCTGTCTTGAAAGCTGATTGAAAGGGCATAATTGTCACTAACTTGTATTTTTAAAGAGGCCGTTTTGAAAAGATAGTTTGAAAATGTAGTGAGAAATGCTAGAGTTACGTTTCTTCTTCTGGAGCTGCAAATAATAAACTGATGGTGATCTACATTCCCTGTGTTCCTGGAGAATTAGCATGATTTTCAAAACGACTGAAACATGTCTTTTAACTTTTGCATTGATAATGAGGAAGGGGAAAATGAGACGTCATGCGGACTTCCCCAAGTGTTAATTCATAACGTCGTATGTGCAGTGCCTCCATCCATTGTCGGATTGTTCTGACGTTATCCTGTTATTGGAAGTGTATGATTCACCTTCTGAGGAAACAGAAGCCACACACAAAAGGGGAAGATTTGCTTTTTGCCCTGTGAAAGCCTGCCACACGCAGGGGTCCTATTAAGACAGCTGGAAAGTTGCTTCAGTGTGTTACGCTTGTAAGTTTTATTGGTGACTGGTTTTTGATTACACATTTGAATGCTGTGTGTTCCAGAGTGCAGTTTTAATTAAAAGGCAGTAGTCTTTTTAAAAAAAAAATTGCACTGTACACTCTTGATAGATTCTCTCACATAGTAGTTCTTATTTTCCAATGTTCACAGCTTGTCTTGGTTAGAGGCTCTGATGCCCCCTCAAAGTATATCTTCCTAGCCTTCTCTCTTCCCAGTAACTTGCATCTTCTTATTTTTAAGAAGCGTCTGCACTGTTGTATTACCAAGTTGCTTGAAGTATCAACTCATGTCAATAGGCTAAGAATGTTTTATCCACTGAAATAGGATGTAAAAGATCTACCTATTGTCAGTGGAAAGAGATGCCGTTGCAATCAGTGTCTCCTGTTTTTGTTTAAATCAACCCTAATGATCTTATGATGTTATTCTGTAACTGTTGCCTTACATGTTTTTTAGTATTACTAGTATTAAATGCAATTAAAGTCTAAGAGAAACTTAGGTCTGAAAACCAGAATTTTGGTATGAATTATGACTAATATTTAATTTTCTGCAAGATGGTAAAGAACCTGCAGGATACTTTTTTACACAGAAAAAAATGCACAACAGTATTAAAAGTGAATTCTGTCACTGCTCTGCATGCCACTTTGCACACGCACTTTTTCCTTAACCGGTTACCGCAGCTATGAAGAGCGAGCTCTGTATCTCGAAGCAATAATTCAGAACCACCGCGAAGTCATGACATTCGAGGATTTCGCAGCCCAAGTCTTTTCTCCCTCTCCCAGCTACTCCCTCAGCGGAACGGGTGAGTGTCTACATTATTCTTCTCTCACGCGCTTAAGACGCATTCAAGCAGCAGATGTACACCTGTTTTTCACAGATAAATGCTTGCAAATTTAAGAAGAGCATTCTCCCTCTGAATCAACTAATGAATATCAAAAGGAATGATGACATTCATTTTAATTTGTTTTGTATTCGAGCTGTTCACTCAGTTCCTTTCTTCAGCTATCCTGTTAACCTTCAAATCTAGCAAGGTTAATGAACTTTTTCTCAGTAATGTGCTCCGGTTCATTCAGGAGTGTGGGTTTCTTGCTGAGCTGGGAATATGTTGTTTAAAAGCGATGCCCGAATCAGTGCTTACTTATCAAAAAAGAGTTCCTCACAGTGGAAGCCGTTGCTACTAATGCTAAATGGGGATTATGCTGCCGAGATACGAGGGTCAGGGATTAATGCAGGAGACATGGAAGGACAGTGTCCCGGGGTCCATCATTACAGCAATGCAGTGTGCGTGTGTCTCTCTGGAGTGGTCTGTGTCATGTGGACAAGCCGCCGACCGGAGCAGCACCTGGTGTGGAACCCGTTTAGAAACTAGCTTAGAATAATTTTCATTTATTAGGGCCAGTGGAAAATTGTGAAAGTTTCCATAGATTTCCTTGTTTTTAGGTTTTTATTCTTTTTATATTTCCAGCTTGGGGGGAAAAATACACGTACCGCCACTTAAACAGATTATATGATTACTGTGTGTTTCTTTCAAATAATAGAATTATTACTTGTAAATTTCTGCATATAATTACAGATTAATTGCCTTTCAGAGAGTAAATGGGATATTTAGCCAATGCATGTTGAAATTCTCACTGAGGAGCTTCCTTCTTCCACTGCTTTAGATGCAACTGTTAGAGTGCTTAATAGATTTCTAACCTGTGTCAATTGTCTCTGAACACTGCCTTACTTCTCCTATTCTGATTCGTTAACAAATATCTTATACACAAAGTGAAAAAAAATTAAATCCAGTGAAATAAATCACTTACAAATAAAATCAGCCATGCATCATTGTTTAACATCGCTGGCCTCAATCCTCGCCTCTCCGAGCTTTGTTGGGAGATAAGAGGGAGAGGCACGCACTTGCGCAGGGAGCCAGGAGCAGCAGGCAGAAGGCTTGGGAGATAAGCAGGCTGGCAGAGGTGCAGGAGCAGCACGATTTGCATAATCACGCCTCTGCTTCCTGGTGAGGCGTCAAGGAACACTGGGATGGCCTCTATTGATCTTTGTTGAACTGGAATACTAAGCAACATGAGAAAAGCTTATAACTTAAAGCTTTGATTAATGTTTCTTACATTAAAAAAGTGGAACAGCTGTGAATTGAATTCTTTTATACACTCTGCCAACATTCTATCTAAGACAAAAAAAAAATTCGTTTCAAGGGAAATGAAGATTTCATACTCAGTCTGGCTAGAGATTTTAAATTGTTTCTAATTTTTCAGTGCAAGAACATGAGGGATCTGTAGCAAAGCTAATTTTAAAAAGATCTCATTCAGCTTTTTCCCACCCTCATGAGATTATTCCCCTCTTCGTGAGGACTTGATTTTTCAGTGCAGGTTGTTTTTTGTTTCTTGTTTTTTTGTTTGTTTGTTTGTTTCTTTTAACTCTTGAGAAAGCTTTTTATTTCTTAAAATTAAACATGTAAATAATAACTAGTTGTTTTCATTCCTTAACTGTTACATTCTTAAGATTATTAAGATATTATCAAAATGAATAATGATGGACCTTGTTTCTATGTATATTTTAGCCTCTGTATAAACTAATTTGATCTTTTCCAAACATTCATAATTATTTAAACCAATTGAAATGAGGGAGATTTTAGGAGCAATTCGAGTTTTTAAGAACTCTACTTGGAGAGGATTGTCAATGGGCTTCTTCAAGAATGTCATATTTTTGAAAATTGCTTACCAGAATAAAGATTCTGACAGCATGTGAGGGTGGGCATTGGAACTTTTCTAAAAGGAATGTGAAACCAAACATGGAATATCAAGACAAATGCTACTCCCTCCACTTTTCAAATTATTAACATCAGTATTACATTTCATAGTGTTCATGGTTTAAGGTATTCAGTGTTGAGTGGGAAAATTTTTTATATGTCTATCATACCTATCCTTAAGTGTGATTTTTAAGTCTAGGCATAATGTTCTGTTTTAATTCTTTGCATATCTCCTCATAACGCTGAGCAGGAAGGAAGTAGATATAATCTTGATTTGAACTGAAATGTGGGGCAGTACAATGAGGACGGAGCATTTCAGCACCATAGACAAGCACGTTTTCAGAAGCATCTTACATACTGGCTTCGCTTTTGAAGAGTCCCTGTCCACTATCTGTTACTACTTCTACAGATGAAAACATTTGTCATTTGTTTACACTGTTATGTTCTTGGGACAAGTGCGATCAAACCCAGATGAGCCAGCCAGCTTAAACTAAGAAATTGAGGTGAAGTCTGTTCTTCCAAGCAACAAGCCAACTGGAAAAATTGACCCTGAGCGGCTTAAGCTCCCACAGTGCACTTAGGACCCAATCAGACCATCTCTGGCCCTCAGTGTCATCAAAGCAGGGCCTTGGGCTTGGGCTCACATGCATATGCACAATCTGAGGAATTAGGGGCTCCTAGGTTTTCTTTGTATCCTCACCACAAGGGGCTTTATTATTAATGAAGAGGGAGCGTCACCTGAACGCTGCGTTCATTCCACATTGTATTGGTAGCAGCAAGCCAGAAAGCAGCATGCAGCCCCCACTTCTAGCGGGAAAGCCCCAATATCAGCCTTTAAGTCTGAAGTGAAAGTGGGAGATGTGCTCAGTGGGAGTGGCCTGTGCCTGAAGGTTCCACTGTTGGAAAATGCCCTCTGCCTCTGACTTCCCCCATCCAGGTGCTGTTACCCATCCGCCCAACAAGCCCTGTGGGGACGGGGTTGGCCAGGTGAACAGGCTTCCGTTCAGGATGCGCTGTCAACCACACATGGTGATGTAGCTGCTAATATATGAGTGCTCAGCTTTTTTCAAAGAGCTCTCAAAACAAAGTCTATTTTCCTAATCAGAAAATATTTTTAAAGACCATCATGTCTACCTTGTATCTATTCCATCCATTACTTGCATTGATAACACCTGACATGTAAAGATATTTCAACTACTTTTTTACCCAGCACTGTAGTTTACCTTCCTTTTTTGACCAGCAATAAATATAAATAATCTAAAAGGTAGCTAGTGTTAAAATATTGGTTGCAGTTAACATATATATGTTTTATGTATAAATACATTTATATACACATGTACATTTCTCTCTCACACACACACACACATATTGAGGTGGGGGACTAAATTTGTGTTTTCAATCATATCACCAAGAAAGAGGGAGCAGCAGAGAGGCCTTGAAAGGGTTAACTGGAATGGGCACCCTCGACTGCTGGGAGGGACTGATGTAATCACTGCAGCTCACAGCCAAGTGCATCTGTTCACCATGAGGTCATTCTTCTGCATGCTAATGATTTGGAAAATCAAGTCTAGTGTTTGACATTATCAGAAAAGATATAAATAGTGTAAATCTTTACTTTTTGGAAGTTGCTCTTATAAAAGAGAAAAAAGGAACTTTACATTGGACCTGAGTTTTTTTTCAGAACTGCCTTAAAGATTGTGTCTGGATCTAAAAATCTTGGAGGAATCCACTTGTGTCTGCTGATAAATCAATCCCCAGATCACTATTTCAGTCACAGCTAGCAATCTGGTAGCCAAGGGCTACAGGTATGTCTCATTTCATATCTGATTTTAAGAATTTCCAAGTGCCTTTGTCCGAAGTCGATAAAGATAGATTTTTCCCAAAGAATGTTCAAAACCAAGTTAAATGAGTGGTTCTTCTCAGAATACCCAAACTGACTTGTGTTTACTGAAGATGCCAGTACTACGTATAGTTCCTTTCTCCTTCAATATTGCTGTAGAGAGCCAGCAGAGGGAGCACAGATCTTTGTTTATTTGTTAGCCCTGCATAAACACAGCATTTGATTTCTCCAAGATACGGTCAGAAATACTTCCTCCTTTATGACAGGCTGGATTGTAAAGGCTCCAGGATTTAGAACAAGTGGGAGAAAATTCCTCACTATGCTTCATCAGAGTCTGCCACTTTTAATGTAGGTCGTATTTGGAGCTTAAACCAGATTAGTCTGAGTCGGTCTTAGGATGCCGCTGCCATTCCTGCTATTGCACAAAACTGCAAACTTTTATCTTTCACACAATTGCTTGGACACCCTCGTGGAAAGGGTTATTTATGCCACTTACCTAATGAAAAAGACTTTTGTAGCTTTTCTTCTACAACACGGTCATTATGTTAAGTTTGCAGAACCTTTACCAGAAGACTCTGCCTGGTGTCACTGAGTCATTTTGGTGGCCAGTAAAATCTTCTCCTAAAACTGCAGATGGAGGCACTTATGTTACACATTTGCCTCAAAGCATATCTATGATGTAGACACTACACAGACTCCTCTTAGAACTTACCAGCCTTTGCCCAGAGAGATACGGCTACACCCAGCTTTTGCTTGGTAAGGCCTCCACACCATATGCAGTCTTGTCATTCTGCATGCAGTCCTGACAGGTAATCTTCCTTGGCTCTTTCACCAAGCAGTTAATAATCAGGTTAACTCCTAGAAACAGCACCAGTAAATCCTAACCCAAACCCCAAAAAAGAGTTTCCCCACTCATTGAAAGGATAGTCATGTGACACACTCGTTCCATTTGTATTCATTCTCTCTCTGTTAAAGTGGTCTTAATACGGTTTTAATCAATAGTACTTCTTTTGAATCGTATGTGTTCAACTTCCCCATAACTTTGCTGAAGCCAGCAAAGAACATCACAGAATGCTGAACTAGAAGGGACTTCAGGAAAGATCATGTCTAACCCTGTCACATTAATTTTGAGCGAGCTGAAGGCCAACCCATGAAATGACCACCGAAGGTCATGGGCAAGTTGGAATCAGGGCCAACTCAACCTTCACCTCCCCATTCCCCATGGAAATGCCAGCCCTGTGCCCACACTATAGTGATAATCCCATAATCAGAGCCATAGCTACCAACTCTTTATTAATACTAAAGGCCAGAATCATATTTTACTCTATTCAGATAATCCAGAAGTTTTCCCTTTTGGTCTCACTCTGTCTCCCAGGTCTGGATTGCAGTGGTGTTAGTACAGCCCACTGCATCCTCCCCGTCCCAGGCTCAAGCGCTCCTCTAGCCTCAGCCTCCTGAGTAGCTGGAACTACAGGCATAAGCCATCACATCCAGCTAATTTCTGTATTTCTTATAGAGACAGGGGTTCACCGTGTTGCCCAGGCTGGTCTTAAACTCCTGGGCTCAAGCGATCTGCCCACCTTGGCCTCCCAAAGTACTAGGATTACAGGCGTGAGCTACTGCACCCGACCGAGAAGTTTTCCTTAAATACAAGTTATCTGATATCACCATCTATTCAATAACTCAGCCATCCCACTCAGCACCCTCAGCACACTTGGCTGTAGCTGGCCAAAGTGTTGCCACACGTCTTACAGACAACTGCCTTGTACAGATGTTTCTTCTACCCCCATAATCCCTTCTGGACACAGCCCAAGTCTTCCTTCCCTCATAACTGGCTTGATTTTGACCACTTTTGCTTTGATTTTTTCCAATTTAAGATGTATTCTTCTTGCAAAGATGGAACAACGTTGATAGAAAGTTTTTTTACTAGCTATCATTCCATCACCAAGAGCCAGTGGTGCTCAACTCTGGCTGCACATTGGAATCCCCTGTGAAGCTGTAAAGATACTGATGCTTGAGTCCCTCCACTAGATTCGGATTTATTGGTCTGGGGTGTGGCCTGAGCATGGAATTTTAAAAAAGAAAAAAACAAAAAACAAAAAAACTGAGGACATTTTAACATGCAGGCAGGACTGAGAACCACTGCCCTAAATCCTCTCTGTAATATTTAGGTCTTAATTTTAGTGCCATCTAACTTGTGATTATGTATATCTTGATTTTCCTTAGCATATATAAGCCTTTATCCTGTGTGTGTGTCTCCTCTCCATAATGGACTGTAAATTCTTTTTTTTTTTTTTTTTTTTTTTTTTTTGAGATGGAGTCTCGCTCTGTCACCCAGGGTGGAGTGCAGTGGCCGGATCTCGGCTCACTGCAAGCTCCGCCTCCCGGGTTTACGCCATTCTCCTGCCTCAGCCTCCCAAGTAGCTGGGACTACAGGCGCCCGCCACCTCGCCCGGCTAGTTTTTTGTATTTTTTTAGTAGAGACGGGGTTTCACCGTGTTAGCCAGGATGATCTCGATCTCCTGACTTTGTGATCCGCCCGTCTCGGCCTCCCAAAGTGCTGGGATTACAGGCTTGAGCCACCGCGCCCGGCCTGGACTGTAAATTCTTTAGAGAATGGTACATGGGATTTCTTTCCTACGTGCAACAGGAGTGAATAGAAAGGAGGACAGAAAGGAATCAGGCTGTTGCTTTAAGCAGAATAGGTGTGTCTCTAGACCGCAGATGTGTGGGCCTGATGCAAGATGCAGAGCAAACACTCATAATTATGTTTCATCTGTCCTCTCCTTCCCAGTCTCTTAGTGAAAGTGGGCCACTGACAAGAAATCTGATAAGAAGCCGGTGTGGAGAAAGGCAGGGGAAGTCAGGAGCCGGCGAATCCATAGACGGAGTAACTGAAACTTGATTCAAGGTGCTTTCGCAGATGGTCTCAAGGGTCTTAAAGGGAATTATCGATTACCCTGTTTAGCACCATTTTAGGCTTCGTGCTGCTTCATCCCTTTGTTCCTTTAAAACTTTTTTACTCTCCTCGGAGTCAGCTCTGGAAGAGATGAGACAAGCATTCTTTTCATTTGCTTGGCTAGAAAAGCGCCACTGCTACCTGTCAGATGTTACCATCTCTGACGTGGTCCCTGTTGCCCCTGGAGGCTGCCACTGAGCAGGACTGTGCAGGGCACTTCAGGCAACACAAAGTAAAGCTCTGGGAACCTCTTGCAGGCCTGTATCTCTCCTTCCCTTGTGAAGCTTGAAGTCTTATTGGAGAAAAGCAGATACTCATGAGCCACAAGAAATGGCTATTAATAAGCCCAGATAAGTTTCCTCCAAACTATAACCTGTGTCAAAAAGATAACCAGCCAGTGGTTTAGGCCAGTTGGGTTGAGATTTCCCTGAGATGAACCATGCCATTTGCCTTGTGAACTTGAGGAGAATGAAAACTTGCCTCGTGTGTGTTAGCTATTCTACTAAGCATCCTGCCAGCCGGTTTGGAACTTCCCCACATTGCCTAATGTCTGAGAACTGGAAGGCCCATGGACAAAAATAAAAAGATAGAGGATAGTAAATGTGAGAAGAGCAGAGAGAAAGAAACCACATGTTTCAGAGCCACTGCGGGGACAGTGACAACTCCTGACAACCCTGGGGCTGATGCTGGGGCTATTCATAGGTTCCCAGAATAAGAAGTGGCCTGAGATCATTCATTTTGAAGTGTCGACCTTGCACTGAATCTGTTCCTTTGGCGGAACTCTGAAGGTGCAGCTTTTTCTGTGAAATGCTGCGTTGGGTTCTGGGTTCCCAATCCTTACAGGGTTTTAAGTGCAGGTGGCATCTTCCTCCTGCCTGACTGCTAATTACAGCTCAGGGGATGCTTTAGCAGTTGCCAAGAGATGGCTGGCAGGTACCAGGAATTTTTCTCAGAGACAATTTTTGGAAATAACTCTTAATTAAAGCTTGTTTGAAATAACCTTGAGAATTTGTTTCAGAAGAACCTGGAGCTCCCGACACCCCAGGTTCACATTCCTTGTGAACCGTGACTGTGGCCCTCAAGTCCTCCTGGCTCAGCAGGTGGTGCATGCACAACCTCAGCTGCTGAGGGGCCTCCTAGAAGACTCTGGTTTTGCTCAAATTCCTGTCCAGCAACAGCCAAACCAAAGCAGAGGCCAAATGGAGCCTCTCTTATTTGCAGTTAAGTCTTCTGACAGAAAGAAGAAAGAATATTTTATACTGTCCTTTTCCAGGAAGATATAGGATAATAACAGGAACTAAACCTGTCAGTAGCACAGGTTTTCTCTATAGAGAAAAGCCGGTTCCTTTTTGCCCATTAGCCTTTAAAGTCCCTCAAAACAGCTGAAGGAATAAAATCCCTTAAAAATGGAAACATGCCCATCCATTTTGAAATAAATAACTTTATGTATTTACAACGTTGATGTGGCCAAATTCTCAGTACACAAGCAACCTAGTAGCATCACCGTGGACAATGCCGAGAAAGAGTAGGGAAAACCCTGTTTTGTGACCACTTCAAGAATATAAGACAATAGAATCCAGATGCATGGAGGACGTGTTCCACCTACCTGTGCCCCCACGCAGAGGCTCCTCTGGCCTTTCCCGCAGCACTCAGCTGTGACCTGTGGTGGGAACCAGTGGCCTTCACCATTCCAGCATCTGTCTTCTCCTGTGTGGGACTGTGTGATCTATGAGATTGCCTGAGGATAAGGAAAAGCAATCATGGGTCTGGCTTGGAAAGGTTCCACTCCCCCATACCCCTAATCTCAGGCAAAACAGGAAGTGCGCACACCTTGCCTTGCCATTGCTGCTGAATGTGTTTGGGCAGACCCTGCAGTCAGCGTGCATCCCAGAGCCCATGCGCTGTCATTAGGGAAGCCCTGCTTCCTAGCTACATCCCTAGGGTGCAGAGAAGCAGCTGGAGAAACAGTGAGACTCCAGTTAGCACCACAGCCTCCAGGTAACATCTGGGCATGCAGCTTTGTGAGGCCAGGCGCTCTGGACCGGGGTGACAGTCACTGACCCAACAGCATCACACATGAGAGCCCCAGAGGAAATCAGTCTCCACGGAGAAGGAAGGAGGAGACCAGAAGTGGAAATCTGCAGCCCGCTAGGCTGACTCTGCTCTTTCTCCCACTTACCCAAAGCTAGCAACTTGCTCAAGGCCAAATTGAGATATTAAACCTCAGGTCCACTCAAGACCTGGGGACACAGAGGGACACACCTTTGCTACAATTTCAGTAGATGCGAACTGCAGCTTCACTCCTCAGAGCGTCTCATAAAGCCCACAAAAGTGGGTTTTCTCATAAAGCCCATAAATGTTTACCAAACATTGAATATGCCAGTTGCAGAGATGGGCAAGACAGACAGCAGCCCTTCCTCCACTGGAGGCTCACCTTCCAGACTGGCGAGTAGACAATGGTGTCTGCTCTCAGGAGCTGAAGAGTGCTGAGGAGAAAAGACAACAGGGAAAGAGCCTCGGGAATGCTACTGAGAAAAACCCAACACACCTGGGGTGGGGGTGCACTTTAAAATAGGGGGTCAGAGAAGGCCTCCCTGGAAAGGCGGCATGTGAGAAATGATGAGGAGGGAGGGGCAGGAAAGAGCAGGTGGAAGGGCCTGAGGCAGGGACTTTCCCGGCACAATCAAGGAACAAGGAGCCCAGCCTACTTAGAGCTGAGCAAGCCCGGGTGGGCAGGAGGAACAGGGAGGTCAGAGTGGCCTTGCGGGCAGAGGACAAGACCTTGGCTCTTGCTCTGGTGAGTTGGGCAGCACACAAAGCCTGTGAAGCAGCAGAGTGCTATGATATGACTCTTCTACAAAGGGCAGTCAGGCTTCAGTGCGGAGGATGCACTGTGGGGAGGGGGGACAACTTCCATGACAGTTTACTCGCCATGTATTCCCATCTCCAGACACGCAACAGGCATGTCATACGTGTCTGGTGCATGAACGGATGTTATGCTCATACAAGAGGTGTTCTGCCTGAACATTCCCTGGGGGACACTAGAGGGGCCCTCAGCGGTGCCCCCTCACTCCAGCACCACAGAACACAGCCACTATCCTGGATTGCCCAGACAGGCAGAACGTGGAGCTCAGCCACATGTCCCACCCTGCCCTCAAGACCCTGCAGACCCCTGTGAGTTCCAGTGCTCGTGAGTACGGGTGTGCATGAAGAATCGCGCAGATGGCCACCCCCGCTACACAGAGAGTGACTTCAAGAAACTTTAAACACCTCAGTGACACAGAAGGGCAAGGATGGGAGGCCAAGGCTCCCTAGCTTTTTTTACTCTTACAAAAATGGTCTCCAGGACTCTGTGAACTGTAACCATTCTTTATGTATGTGTAGAGATGTGCAATTTACTGCACGCTTTCCGCAGAGTCCCCCGCCCATGGGGCAAGATTGCTCTGACAGTTGAGGAATGGAGGCAGGCTGGTTTTTCCATCACCAGGTGGCTGTTCATGTCCTGACCAGGGCTCGAGCACTTAGGCCTCTTAGTTCTCAGACAGGACTCATTGCTCCACCCTACAGCCCCCTTGCGTCTCCGTGCCTGCTGTGGGGGACCCACCCACAGGAATGAACAACCCAGTGGCGGGGAGGAGCCCTTCTTCGGTGGCAGTGGCAAAATGTTCCTCCCTGAAGGCAGAAAGGACTGTTTTCTAGAATGTGTAACCTGTATAGTTTTTACAGTGGCAAAGGCACACCCACTTTGGCACAGATAACTGAGAAATTTAACTAAAGGGTTGCCTACTTTACAATTCAAAAGGAGCACCATAGAAATAATTCACATATAACAAGTATCTTAATTATGGGCCAAAATTCCTTTCTGAGGACAAGACATTTTTTATCAATGAAACTACCAGACACGTCCATTGCTTCTGCAGTGTTTCCTCAGACACCTCACAAAAATACCTAGAACTCACTGTCCTCCCACAATCACCATGGATGTAACTGCTACATTTTCTTGAGCTGTTGATTATTAGGGAAATTTTTAAAATATAGTCCTGAGTGGTGCACACACTCCCAGTGTATCTTGGGACAAATCACACGGTAATCCCACCTCACTGCCGCAGTCACTCCTGAGTTGTTTTAAAACAGATCAATTCAAGTTAGAATAAGCTTGGGAGACAACCTGGAAGGGAAAACAAGTCACTGAAAAGCAGTGTGCCATCGGTGGGGTGGCCCTCTTTGCTTTGAGGGTGGTGTGAGGCACAGCAGGAGAGGTGCTGGTGGCATCTGCAGAGCTTCATAGCTGCCCTCGTTCCCCTGCTTGCCTGGGTGCCCCTGGGGGATTTTCTTCCTGAAATCTCAGAGCCATTTCTGTTGTGTCACTTTTGGAATCATGGGAATAGTAGTGCCACCCAGACCACCTTCTATTCTATTTTGCCATTTTAAAAACCAGCTTGTTGAGATCTAATTCACATATCATGCAGTTCAGCCATATGAAGTATACAAGTCAGTGTCTTTGGTCTATTCATTAGGTTATGCAACCATTACCACAATCAAATTCTATAATATTTCATCCCCCTTTAAACAGCCTGCCGATAGTCAATCCCCCTTCTCCCCGCCCACCCCTCAACTCTAAACAACCACGAATCCACTTTTTGTGTCTATGGACCTGCCCATTCTGGACATTTCATATAAATAAAATCATCCCATATGTGGTCTTTGGTGGCTGACTTCTTTCTCTTAGCATACTCTTAAGGTGCCTCCATGTGTAGCCCATATCAGTATTCCATTTATTTTTATTGCCAAATATTCCACTGTACGGATAGACCACATTTTGTTGGTCCATTCATCTGTTGATGGACATTTGAGCTGTTTCCACTTTTGGTCACTGTGAATATTGCTGCTGGGAACGTTCGGGTCCTGTGTGGCCATTCACTCATGTGGCTTCAGTCTGGTAAAGTACACAGACTTCCCGTGGCCAAGATGCAGCGGAAATCTTGGTGCTTATGTTCTGTGAGAGTGAGAGAGGGTCTGGAAACGTTTCTTTATGATGGCCTAACAAGAAAGTTGACACCAAGATATTAATTTTAAATTTATAATTTAGTTTAATTTAGTAATAGAGCCACACAAGTACATTATAGTCAGGGAAGAGAAAGAAAAAAATGCCGGGAAAATTCTTTTACCAATGATCCACCTGCTCACTTAGCCCCGGCACGGGAGCAGCACGTATACAGGCACACGCTTCACGCACTTTCCCTTCTTCCCTCCCTTCCTGCCGGTTCAGCTGTCCCAGCTTTCGGCTTCTGAGCCATGGGTGATGGGCAAGACCAACAACCAGAAAGAGGAAGCCAAACCCAGAGTCAGAGCCAGGGCCAGGACACAGCCACTGCTGCTGGATTGGAAATACTGGAAGCCATCCTTGGGCCATTTGGAGATGTTAATTAGGCTGGCTAATTCCCACTGGCCTTGGGTTGCCAGTGTTGAGTGTGTGGGCTTACCCCATCCACTGCCTGCACCTGTTCCCTTCCTCAGAGCCATTCCAAGGGATCTGAATAGCCCAGACAGCTCTCTGATCTCCCACTCTGTCCGCCTTCCTGCTGGTAGGATATTTAGCACTTGCCTAAAGCTGGAGCCCTAGTCCACTCTTTCTCTCCCTCATGCATGCCAGCTCTCAAAATAATTCTCTTTCCTAATTATCTTGAACCAGCTAATCATTTTCCACACTGACTGATCAGTAACCAGGATCCAGAGACAGGCAGCCGCGTTTCTTGTCTGACCCTGCCCAGCATCATCCCAGGTGGCAGTTCTGGATGGCAGCCTTTCCTCAGAGGCAAGAAGCTTGGTTCAAAGCCTTGCTCTCTTGCTATCCCAGTGAGTACAGCTGGAGAAAGCATGCCATAGAAAGGCCCACCAATTCCTGGAGCGCCTCTGCTAGGCGGAGCCGCACACAACACAACACATGCCAGCCAGCCTCTTGTTTCCTGTCCTGCTTTAAATCCCTGTTGATATCCAGAGTATCAGAGAAGTCACACAAGGCAGAAGAAGCAAGACATCTTTCTTCAGAAGTGACTTCTGGATTCCTCCAGCTCAACTCTGCATCTGAGCCGCCAGTTGGCCACAGTTTGGCCTTTTGGTGTCTGAGTTAAACCGTTAAGGGCTGTCCCTGAGGAGTCTTGCTCAACTGCTCTTAGATATGAGTGGGGCTGGCTTCGATTCCCAGCCCCACAAATAGGTAAAAATGACTTCGAATGTAAAACACACATTAACCCTATAACCCAGTGTCACAACTTTTTTTTTTTGTGGGGGCGGGGGGGGGACAGAGTTTCGCTCTGTTGCCCAGAATGTAGTGCAATGGCACCATCTTGGCTTACTGAAACCTCCACCTTCCCAGTTCAAGCAATTCTCCTGCCTCAGCCTCCTAAGTAGCTGGGATTACAGGCGCCCGCCCCCACACCCAGCTGATTTTTTTAGTGTTTTTAGTAGAGACAGGGTTTCACCATGTTGGCCAGGCTGGTCTTGAACTCCTGACCTCAGGTGAGCCACCGAGCCCGGCTGTCACAACCTTTTATCCATTATCACCCCACCGTGGAGCCTTCTGAGACATTTTGGTTTCCTAATTAGTCCCCTCCCCTGAAACAGCACAGAAACACCATGTATCTGTTTACTTACAGTACTTATACATACTGTGCTGTACACATATAAAGAGTAGGCTATTTTGCCACCCCAAATTAGACTGCATGCTGTAACTTTTCTCCCAGATCCCCCAAAGGCAACGGTTTCATCTGCTTTGGTCACCACTGTAACCCAGAGCCGAAAACAGTGCCTGGCACATATCTGCTGCCCATTTGACAAAGGGATAGGACAGTTAGGCTTTGTGTCTCTCCCCTATCCCCGCCAGGCGTCAGGTCCCTCCTGGCCGCTTCCCACCCCCCATCTCCAAGCACATTGCCCTCCAGGTGCCCTCCGCACTGCCCAGGTTGATCAGTGCCCTGTGTGTACCCCAGAGATATATCGAGAAGCTGACAGCTTACTCCTCTGCTCCACGACTGGAACCCCACCCTTTGGGAGCACTGCCGTGTGTCAAGGGCAAGTGACATTTGAGCCCCATGGAATAATCAAGGCAGCCCCCAACTGTCTCTGTCTTTGCATCTCCTTAACTCAACCATGGATTGGCAGTTACTGAGACATTCTTTGTGGTCCAGCACACCACACCAGGCTGCGTCTGGGGACACACAGGAGAGGGGCAACCCAGTCCTCATCAGCAATTACAAACAAGTCCTCCATTGTTAGCTGCGCCATCTGCTTTCTTGGTTTCTACCAATCGGGTGCCTGTACACACAGCATAACCAGGGCTGAGGGGCTGCAGAGGAGTGAGATCAAGGAGCCCCTTCATAAAGAGACCCTTTGCTCACACTGGAGGGTGTCAGTGGCATGGTGCTCTAAAAGCCGAACTTCCTCAACTCAAGGAAGACCCATGCAGATATGCTCTATGTTTGCCCTCTTCCATGAGAGGAAATGGGGGCCCTACAGCACAGTGCACTGGGGGGAATCAGAAATCTAAACGATTAAATCTTCCAGAGGATCCACGGAAAACATTCTAGTCCGTGACCAACAGTCAGCAGCAGCCCAGAACCTCTTGTGCCCAAAGAGCACAATCAAGTGTGGAGAAGGAACGGCGTTCACGGTGGGTGGGAGTCGGACCGAGTGTGGAGAAGGAACGGCGTTCACGGTGGGTGGGAGTCAGACCGAGGATCATACATGAGCCACGATCAGTTATTGATCCAGAATCTCCTAACCCCAAATAATTTTCTTGGGAGAAAGGGACAGTCTTCATCCATAGATTGGAAAAGATGGCTCCATAGCAGTGCACATTTCTTTCATGGAGCCTTGGCTAAGAGAATGGTAGTGGTCTCCTCCTGATGGCTGCTGTAGCCACCATCTTAGAAGTTTGCCCCCTGTCACCGTGCCAACCTTGGCAGAGGGGGTCAGCAGAAAATCCATGTTTACAACTGTGGCTGTGCAGAGAATGGTCCACATCGCTGATGAATGTCCTTTGTCGGGATTTGACGGTTGTCTAGTGACACAGAATTCAGGAGAGTTGTGGGGGCTGAGAGTTCAGGAGAAGCTACTGCCTGATGCAGAAAGAGGATGCATTCACCAAGGAAACCCCGCTGTAGAAAATAGGATGGTGTGAAAGGGGTGGAAGAACCTGTCACAAAGCATAGAAAAGCTAAGATCCCCCTCAGTTCTGGGTGACTGCTGAGACCCTGCTGCTCTGTGGGTGAGAGTGACCTTATGGTCCAATTTTCCCGCTCCAGGGTCCCCTCCCAAGCTTTCCTCTGCACAGGATGCTGTGTGTCCCCTCCCTGAGGACTGTCACATTGCAGGTGACACCAGTATTAACACACTGTGCGTAACTCAGAAACCTGTAAAATGAAACTTGGAGACATGTAAACTTGCCCACCTAGGGGGTTTCAATTATTTTTTCAGGTCATCCATTGAATTTCAAATGCTTCTCTTGAAAACACTTTTATCTTTGTATTTTAAACAAAATCAGTCAGGAAAAGTTGGAGAGCAGGAAAAGGATATAGCTGTCAGTGCGGTTCAGCATCTGTAGGGCTCCTGACAGGGTCTGCATGCATAGACCCTGGGAGTGTTAATGTCTCTCTCATTTCACATTTGCAAAGATGACATCGGCTTCTATTTTGTTCTATCAAGTAGCATTTTCAAGTGAGTTTTCAGTTTTTACTGATTGACAAGGCTGCAAAACTGCTTGGGCAGCTCAGGGATAAATGTATTATTAGCACTGTGTTAATGATCAAGTTGGAGCTGTGGGCTGCTGTGTGTGTATTCACTCGATTTTGTGTTCTTTCCCTTCAGATTAAAACACGTAAAGGTCTCATTACAATATTTGAGCAAGGTAAGACAGACACTTCAGTGGATTTGTCCAGCCACCCTGCTATGGGGAGGGGGTGGGACTTTTCTAACCGGCTGCCCTTGGTAGCGGACCCCGCATCGGTGCTCCTCGCCCTCCTGGGCCTTCCCCTCCCGAGCGGCCCTGCCCGCACTCCTGCCCCTGCATGTCTGCGCTGCCCGGGGAAGCCCAGCCTTGCCTTTCTTCTGCCCGTGCACTCGGGGAAGAATCCGACACCAACACCTGCTATCCCGGAAAATGTCTTTGTCACCTACCCTTTTGTGTGTGGAGCTGTAGGGGGCCGGTGGGCACGGGGGCCACCCGCTTTTTTGTTGCCCAGGCCTGGAGGAGCAGGGTCTTGAGATGGGCCGATAAGACACAGCACATGCTGGGCCGGCCTTTGGCCGCCAGCCTTAAAGGAGGCCTCTGAGGCCTCCACGCGGGGAGGGCAGGTTGTGGCGGGGGCTGCTGAATGGAACAGCTGGGGAAGGAAAAGCAGATAAAAGCTGCGGAGTGCAGAGGGTGGAGACCCAGGGATGCGCTGCGGTCTAGGACCCAGAGGATAGGCTGGCCGTGGCAGATGTGACCTCCCCAGCCCGCCTTTCTGTCCTGGGTCTGGGGTCCAGGCCCTGCCTGCGGCGCTCTGATGGATGGTAGCTGCCTTGGCAGGGCTGTCTGAAAACCCTGTCCCGTGTGGCCTGGGCTGCACCACCTCCCAGGCTCACAGGTGGAAGGCAAGCAGTTGGTAATGACAAGGATCATGGCAGTGCCCTTCACAGGAGAAAGCAAGTGAGCGAGCTGTCA